AGCCCCTCAAATAAAAGCCAGAAACCAAAACAAGGAGAAAAGGAAATGCACAGAGAACACAAACACTACAAGAAATTAACACAAAAAGCTTATGTATAGATTGCACTTCTTAATCTCCTTGAAGTGTATAGATATATAAGAACAGAATGTTATCAAAAGGAACACACATAAAACAATAAAACGCCTTGGAAATTAAAAAAACTGAGGTCCCAACAGATTGAGAGAAAAAACAGAGAAAAAGCATCCAGAAAATAGAGCAAAAAGATAAGATGAACAAGATAGAGAAAATAAGAAAGGAAGAGAATTATTTTCAAAGTCATATCCACTTAGCAAATGACCTACAAGTGGAGGACCAGAAAAAAAGTGGACATGTAATTACCAGAAAAATAACACAAGAAAAATGTCTTAGTACTAAATTATTCAAATATTCAATACCTGGAATAAAATACACACATACATTGTATATTACCATGAAACTTCAAAATGTTAAAAGAAAATCCTAAAAATTTCTAGAGAAAGGGACTATAGACAAAGCATTGGAAATCAGAAGGATAAAAATAAAATAGAAAAAATAAATAAATAAAATAGAAACAGACAAAAAGAAATCAGAAAAGTATCAGACTTCTAATACAGCCTAAGAAAGGAAGAGATGAAAGGAGAAAGCCCCTGGTGATAAGGGACTCCTGGGAAGGGTGAGGAGTTGGATGGTAATGGACTGAAAACCTGGGGAACACATTCAGGTTAGCGGAAGTGAGGAGAGGAAAATCCCAGGGCTGTTAAAGCACAGGAAAGATCACTGTGAGCAGCTGTGACCCAGTCACTCCAGAAATCAAGCGAATGTATTTAATTATGTCCCTATTTATGCAGTGGTGCCAGAGATAGAGCCCAGGATCTTGCATATGCTAGGGAAACACTCTTACTCTGAGCTACATCCTCAGCCTAGAGTGATTAATTAATTTAATTAATTAATTAACTAAAATTTTAATTAATTTTTATTAATTTTGGGAAAGAACTATTTCAGGGAGAATATATTATAATGGTATGTTATTTGGCTCAGTAGAGAACACTTTTCATGAATGTAAGGTTGAAAATTCGTTTTTTTTTTTCTTTTTAAGATAAGATTGAACCTAGCCCTCTACACTGTGCTGTGTCTCCGGTCCTTTAAAAAATCTTTTATTTTTTTAAATTTTGCGTCAGAGTCTTATTAAGTTTCTTAGTTCGCCAGCCTGGGCTTGAATTTACAACTCTCCTGTGTCAGTTCCCAGGGTTCTGAGATTATAGGCATGTGCTGGGCATGGTGGCACACATCTGTAACCCCAGCGTTTTGAAGATTCAGGCAAGAAAACTGCCACAAATTCAAGGCCAGCCTGGGCAATGTGGTGAGTTCAAGGTCCACAAGACCCTCTTACAAAAATATGGAAAAATTCTGTTGAGAGACAAAAGATATGTGTGGTACATGATAAGCGAGGCAGTTATATGTGTTAAATATTTTATCTGAAATAAATAAATGGTATCCAACACTGAGAAACTGAGAAAGAGCAATATAATTATACTTTATAGAAATATAGAAACGATACCAGAAATGGCCTTTAGTGAACAGGACTGAAGGGTCGCGGAGGTAAAGAGGGATTTTTGCTTTTCATAATACTGTTTTACTCATGTTATTTACATGTCTCATTTTGAAAAAAACTAAATTTGAATTTTAAAAACGTACACGTGAAACTCAGAAAGGACAGTTCACAGAAAAAGAACCTCATATGGCCATCAAACATATGAAAAGAAGTTCAACCTTACTAAACTAAGACCTATGCAAATTAAAACCGAATGGAGATATTCTTTCTCATCTGTCAGACAGATAAAAATTCAACAATTTGGCCAGAATTTAGCTCAGTGGCGTAAGTGCCTGCCTGGCAAGTGATAGGTTGTGAGTTCGATCCATGGTACAAAAAAAAAAATTCAACAGTTTCCAGAGAGACAAACATGAAAAGTTCTCACTTATAAAGTTCTCACTTATGTGAAATCTAAAACAATTACAATCACAGAAGCAGAAAGGAATGATGACCAGAGGCAGGGTGGGGAAAAGAGAGCAGATAACCAAAAAGTACAGGCTAGATGGGAGAAGCAGGTTTGGCTTTTGATTTTGATTTTCTATTTTTGTCCTGAGAGGCGCTGCACAGTCCTGCCCATTCCAACGCCACTGAGAGAGTGGCTCTGGGACACTCTCGTCACTGCAGATGTCAAAGTGTGAGGGATGGATGGGCTGGTTGGCTTGATTTGGTCATTTCTCATTATATCCAAACATTGCAACATCTCTTGTACCGTGTAAATACACACAGCTATATGCTGTCAATATTATTTTTAAAATTCAACTATTACACACTTCCGTCTTTTCCTAAACCCTGGGGAATGCACAGTGATTCCATCTCCTTCAGGAGAAGCTGGTCATACTACTAAGACTGCAGATGCATTTGACTCAGCAAAACTCTTCCAGAAGTGCATTGATTGCCACACGCTCCTCCAAAATGATTTATCACGAGGTTGCTCCTTACAATGTCGTCTGTAATAATGACAGATCAGAAACGATCGCATTGTCTGTCCACTAGACTGTTTAAATAAACCATGGTCAGTCACTTTGCAGGAAGTACTTATTTTCTCAATGAATAAGAAGGAAAAAAAAAACCTACATAATTTAGGCTGCCAGACACTACAAAGCACAGAGAAGCTCGCAGACTCCCTGGCCTTGTGAAGTCTGAGCAGAAGAGGAACTTGGCTCCCAACCCTTTCAAAATCTTAGCTACAAAGCAAGAAAGCAGTGGGGCAATTCCAGACTGGCAATTCACGCCAGTCCTCAGTGCAAAGCCCAGCTTGGCTACTTTGATATGAACTGTGACACCTGGGACTTCAGCTGCTCATCTGCAACATGAGATAAAATCCCCACCCTGCAGGATCACTGCATGCATTGAGTGGCTGGTAGGTGACGCAGGTGGCACTGGCCATGACCCATGTACACGCTCAACAAACAAGCCATTGCTAGTAGCAGCACCCAAGAAAAAGCATTGTGTCTCAGAGACTGACTTCCTTATGGAAGGAAACCTGTGCTGAAAATGCCTGGATACAGATCTAAAGGCAGGCTTTTGAAGAAAATAACAGGAGGAATTTCCCTTCATGACCAGGAAGTTTGGAAGACGCTTCAGAGCCACAAACACATAGACCACCCTCACGTGCCTGCAGCCTCTCATTGCTGCAGCCTGCTCTAGGGACTGACGGAGACCTGCCCTATGTGCCCTAGGCCAGCAGCAGGTTGGAAGGACAGAGCCCAGATGCTCTATGTTTAGGAGGATAAATATAAAGAAAAGGAGAAGAGCAGGATAGTGTCAGGAGCTCACAGCCAGCAGTCCGTCCCATAGGTAAACCAACTCACAGCCAAATTACTAACCAAGGATACGATGGCCATCTTCCAGCAATTCCAAACAGAAAGAGCCAACTTAAAACAGGTGCCTAGGGCATTGATAACTTGGCCTTCATTCACTCCCAAGAGGGGGGTGATCAACTGTGAGGCAAGTGACCACTACTGCTAGAGTAAGCTATCGGTTTATGCCAACTGTTTTTCAGCTCTGCCTATGCTTATGTTCATTCATTTCCTTGGCCAGGAAACCCCCAAAACCCCCTTGGGCTTGGACTCCAGTAAATGCAAAGATTTCCCCAGATAGGTCATATTGAGCTCTACTTCTGCAAAAGGGAATATCAGCCACCTTCATCACACTCTTGCAAAATAAAAAAAAAAAGATAGCTTTGTCCACAGGTGCACAGCAGGCATGATCCCCTCACATGCAGAAACCCTCTGGCCGTGCCAGCATGTGGGAGCAAGCAGCCCCACAGCAGTGCCCACCATGCTCTTTGAATTCCAAGGAAAGATCTTCCTAGATGCCTCAAAACAGCATAGAATTTTCCTTCTTCATTTTCTGAACCTGAACTTCCAGTTAAGAAGACTCTGACTCTGAAACATTACAAAGGTATTTTTTTTTCAAGTTCTCCAAATGCCTTCTTGATTCATGCGGCCCTTATATACTGGTCTCTCACTGTGCCCATACTGGTAAGGGCAATGCTAGATCCAGCCAAGTTCACTGGGCTTGTGATTCTCCCTCATTCCCACCCCGGGGATTTGCTAATGATATGCATTCAGCGTAATAATGGTTCTTAGCTGAACAAAGCAGAATCAGATGACGAATTTCAACAGAATCAATTATCTACTATACCCTGGGCACTGAGTAAGGTCCTTTTTGCTCTTGTGTTTGACCATCACAACCATGTGAACAGATGATCACCATGGTCCCCATCTTGCAGGTGACCACATGGGTCCTCAGAGCACTGTGAGACTTGGCTGAAGTCTCATGGTCAAGAAGAGACCAAGTGGGATGAGACCCAAACCCCCACGAGTTTATTGTCATAAGGGGAATTTTTACATCTAAAACTCTTTTGTAATTGCTTTTCTCCCCCACCACACACACACACACACACACACACACACACACACACACACAAGCACACACTCACACACTCATGCACACATGCCCCTCATTTGCAGCGAGCCCTTTGCTAACTCCAAAACAAAAGCCCCATCCACATCCTTTTTCTCTACCTCTGTTGGCAAACCAAGACGGCAGTGTGTTTCCAACACATTCATCAGACTAAGGAAAGAGGAAAAAATTCCCCGTGATTTAAGCAATTTTCCATCCCTCAGAACCAAGGACGTACACGTACAAAGGTTTACCGCCATATACAAACATTGCTTTTTAAATGTTGCTAATTGATCTCTGCTACGAGGTGACTTAAACAGGAAAATCTGTAGTGTCACAGTCGCCTTTCTTGTCTCTTAAGTGGACATACAAGCCTTTGTTGAAAACTACATCAACATAAATGGAGCAGCAAACTACTTGGATTGGGCACAGATTGGACTTGCAACTTGCACCCCATTTGACTCTGGTTCTAGACCTGCTAACCTGAAATAGTTGCTGGCCGCGGCAAGCACCACGCGGTGGCAGGAGAATTCCTGGATGTCCACACACAGAGTGACATCTGTCAGCGCATTTTCCACTCGGAGGGTCTCCAGGCCATTCTGAAGAATCAAGGAGAGTTCCGCATCATCGAATTTCACCTTCTCCTCATTTAAGATTTCCACCATGTCTCCCCTCTTCTGGGGGGGCTCCTCCGTGGCGGGTGCCAGGGGCCCTTCCAAACTCTTCTCTACCACGCCCTCGTCCATGGTCCAGGCGCCTCTTTGTCCTGCCATCAACTCCCAGACTGAAGGAGCTCTCGAGTCTTGGGCAGGTCACATTGCAGAAGCTGAGAGGATTTCCTGTCAGGGCCCTCTCACTTATCACCCGCTGTCACACACACACATAACAGGAAGTCTCGCACTCTCTCATCCTGTTACTACAAACACTGGCGAGACCTATTCTTCTTTCTGTGAATTTTCACCACGTTAGAAGTGACTTAGTGTGGGTGTGTAGGAGGGGCCTCCGTGCTAGATGGCACAGCTTCTCCAGGGCCGTGGGGTTATTTTGGTCCATCTCCCACCTTACATCCGTGAGCAGGAAGCCTCTGGTTCTGGTTATTACATTTGCATTCCTGGGGCTTCGCGAATCCCAGGCATCCCTGATGGGATGGGCAGGGAGCATCCACAGCCCTCCTGCTCCCTCCTTCTAGACTCTGAGACCCATCAGGAGCCCCACCTGTCACTTGGGAACCCTGAAACCCCTCTTATCCCTGACATTCTCATTCCGCTCCTGTGCACATCTTCTGTCCTTGTCTCCTTCCCTACTCATGAGAAAACAATGTCAACACATGCACGAATGCATCCCCCAACACAAATCTATTTTTTTGGATATGTCTGGAGAAGAAGGGAAATAGTTTCCAGAAATTCCCTCCCCAGGGCTTTTGTCTTAAAAGACCAATCAGGATGGATCAACCCTTGATTGCCCTAGCAAGGCTCAAAATAGCCAGATCTTACCCACCACCTACTGGCTGTGCATCTGATGATGGATGAAGTATTTTCCATTATCTGAAGTGCCACCATACCCCAGAGAACCTATAGAACCTGGTATATTTTAACTAGCACATCTTTGTGGTACATCATGACTGCATTTACTGTGGAGAGTTGCTTCATATGCACGACCCATCTCCATTATTTTTCATCTTTTACCCCTCTCATCCCTCCTTGCTTCTTCCAATTCTTGGTCATCTTCCTATTATCAAAAACTCTATTCCAATTTTTCCTTCAATTATTTCCCACAGTCTCTCCCTCCTCTATACCCCTCTGTCTCTTATTCCCCTTTGAGTTAGGAAAGATCTCCCTACTTCTTACTGTCTTATTTTGCTCTTTATACTTTGTGTTTCTGATACAAGTAAACACATATGATATTTAAGTTTGTGTCTCTGATTTATTTCACTTGATACTATTATGGTCCCAAGGCTCATCTGTGAACGCCTCAAGTTTATCCTCCTTAAGGGCAGAGTTGTACTCTATACCACATTTCCCTTACCCATTCATCTGTGATAGGCATTGTTATGGCTGTATCTAGATGTTCCCCTAAGCCTCATGCAGTCATAGGAGGGGTTTTTTTCAGAGGTGATTGGATCTAGAGTGTGTGACACTGGAACTGATTCATGGTACAGTGCACTAGGGTTAAGGGCAAGGGCACTAGGGTTAAGGGTGTGAGTGCTGCCTGCCTTAAATAGTTTGGATAAGATAAAAGGGACAAAAAGACACTGTTATGGTTCCTTGTCACCTTGCTACCTTCTGTCCACTATGATTGTCACCCTATCTTGGAGCCAGCCAATTATGGACTGAAACTTCTACAAACTATGAGCTAAATAAACCTTTTCTACCTGAGCTTGTGGGTGCTGGATATAACTAATATGCACATGTAGACTGTTTCTAAGGTTTAGCTGCTGTAAGTTGCAGCTGCGGTATGTGTGTACCACTGTAATAAGATGGCTTTAACACTTCTTTTTTGGAGATTTTTTTTTATTATTTTGAAGGTAGTAAAATACATCAGAACAAGACAGAACAAAGCCAATCAAGACAATGCAGTGAAATTGGTACAGATGTCACAGCAGGTTACGGGGATAACAGTAATAGGTACCATAGTATATCTTGTTATCTTCACAATAGTTGTCCATTCAATCAGGTATAGCAAAGTCAAACCAAATACAGAACATAATAGAACTTATCAAAACAAAACATTGAATAGAGCAATGCAATTAATCAGAACAAAGCAAAACAGTGATAACAATATTTGCCTTTAAAAATATGGTAGCAGGAAATCCCCCATATTTGCTACATTACATACGGTCAAACTCCCAAGAGATGCTCAGACCTCTGGCTCCCATTTGCTAGTGGGATGGGGTGGGGATGTGGGATGAGATGTTTGATTCTCAACCTGTACGCTGGTAGGCTCACGGCTGCTTACTAGGGAGGTAAACAGGTTCCTTTGTTGCCTAAGTTCCACCACGGCGAGGATCTTGGGAGATGCTCAACTTTAACATTTTTAGGCAGATACAAGGAAACAATAGCTGAGTCAAATGGAGTCTGTATTTTTAGTTTTGTGAGGAATTTTTACACTGATTTCTATGATGGTTGTACTAGTTCACATTCCCACCAACAATGTAGGGCTCCTTTTCCCCTACAACCTCATCAGCACTGGTTATTATTTGATTTATTGATGATAGCCATTCTTTCTGGAGTAAGATGGTATCTCGATGTTATTTTAATTTGCATTTTTAATGGCTAGTATTGTCAGGATTTATAAGGGAAAAGATTTAATACAGGACACATAATTTATAGGATTATTTTATAATATTCACTGAAAGAGTCAAATGCAAAAAGAGTGTGGGAGATCTGTCCACACACTGGAGACCCAAAGAATCCAGCTGAGGGCCTGGATCCTACAGCAATGTCCTGCATGAGGCCAGCTGAGAGCCCATGGCAATGCCTCATACAAGTTTGTATCAAGGATCTGCACTGGGAAGGCCCAAAAGTCAGTAATGTGTAGAAAGAAGCCCAGCTGGGTGAAGGATCTGTTCCAGCAGGCTGAGGAATCTGCCCTGGAGCCAGGAAGCAATGCTCAAGGTAAGGTCCAGAGTTCCTCCAAAGAGAATAGCAACCACACTCAGTAACAGCAGGGACCTGAGCTCCTCTGACATTGAGAACAGTAAGTTCATTATCAGGAAAGCCAGCAGGACAAGCTTCTCCAGGGGAATCAACAGCACCATCCTCCCCTCCAGTTCTCCTTTTAGGCTGTTGGCAGCAATCCTCAGGTGGGCCTTCCACACCCAGCACCACGCTGATCAGGTCAGCTGGTGTTACAAGCTGACCATTAGTTAATCCACCACAGCCAGTAACATGGAGCTGGAATTACAGACCTGCACTGCCATGATGAGGTTATGTATACTGGTAGTGTCCATTTCATCGATTTCTTCTCTGAATTTTACATTTTCCTCCCTTGCACAAGTTCTGGATTTGGATTGTTCTTGTTTTTCTGTGACCTCAAGGTGCACCACTAGGTCATTTATTTGGGCTGGCTCTGTTTTTGCGATGTGGACATTAGCAACTATAAACTTGTTTGCTAGGACTGCCTTCATTATGTCCCAGAAGTTTCAGTATGTTGTTTCAGTGTTACCATTTATTTTTATGAAATTTCTTCTTTCTTCCTTAATTTGTTCTATATCCTATTGATTATTCAATAATGTGTTAACTTCCATACATTTGACTAATTTCTGTGGGGTTTTTCTTTGGATCATTATCTGTTTAGCTATACTTTAAGTTCACCAAGCACCTTACTGATCTATTTTGTTACTTCCACTGCTGTCCTTTCAGATATTTCAACTATGTAGCTTTTGATTTCCTTCCCCTCACCCCACCCGGGATGGGTTTAGGGAGGTAGGGGTGTTTGGAGGCAGTTTGTCACCTTGTCTTCTCATGTTTCTATTTTGTTTCTTTGTATTCTTTGCTGAGGCTTCCAGGTTCATTACAGTGAATAGCACTATTGCCAGCCTGGAGATATCTTTAGCCAACATCTACTTTTCAGAGAGAGTGGCTACCAACTGGCCTTTGCCTTTGTCCCAAGATCCAACCGCCTCCGTTTATTAGGGGTGGCAGTTTATTTGGTGCAGAATTCAGTTCTTTAGGAAGAGGCCACCGTATTGTTTAGGACCCTCATGCAACCCAGACACTGGCAAACTGCACCAACTGTATAACCTTGGCTCTGGTACTAAAATCAGTAATGATAGCACCAAATACAAATGAAATACTGACCAACACTAAAACCAATAAAGCACCACTATTAACCATAGAAAAGAGATCTGTGATGAGAGTATAAACACCAAGACAAAGCAAATATTGACTTATTATAAATATCTACTCAGTGGAACAACTTAACAATAGGAAAGTGTTCAACCTTGGTAAGATGTAGTAGACTATCAATAAATTCATAAAGTTCAATAATTATACTAGTAGGGATAGAGGTTGCAGGGAATGGAAACCTGAAAAAACAGAATTTGAAAAACTGATGGAAAATGAGACATAGATAAAAGTAAAATAAAGGTTCCTAATTAAGGAATAAAAGGGAGCTAATAGTATTAGATAAAGGGAACAAATTAAAAGAGAGCAAGTGAGAAAAGAAAAGAAGAGAAAAAGGAAGGTTGACTCCCATCATAGAAAAAGAATTCTCAGGATACATCCGTGAGAGGTACAGAAAGGGTTTATTAGGCAGGGGATTTAAGTCACACTCAAGAGAAGCAAGACACTTGATACTGGGAACTGGGGATCTTTGTGTCTCTTGGGTGGCAAAAATTGGCAAAATTTGATAATATACTGTAGTCCTATCTAGTGCATGAGAGAGGACGGTCCATCCACAGGAAATCCTAATTTATTAGGATTTCCATTCATCCAGGAAATCCTAATTTACAGGTGGGAAAGTGGTCTATTCATGGTGAAAGAGGCCCATTTGCAAATGGAAAAAAAGAGTAACTGAACCTATTTGTAGGTGAAAGAGAATTACCCAGGCTTATTATTTTCTGGGAGAAGAAAAAGAAAAAATACAATATAAAACAAAACAAAGTGTGCTTGTGTCCTAAAGCTGGAGTTTTCATTTTTAAAAATATGATTGGGGGTCCGGGGTACAAGCTCAGCGGCACAAGCACCTGCCTGGCAAGCATGAGGTCATGAGTTCAATTCCCGATGCCCCCCCCCAAAATAAAAAGTATGATTTTCTTTGTTTCCTTTCTGCCTCGTTTCTGTTTCCTCTATCCCACCTCTTACCTGCATGACTCTAACTAACCTCCTGTAGCTGAAGACAACACGGAAGTCAGTTCCTCTCCTGTCAC